ATGGTATTGAAATTTCACACAAACGAATATACCAGTAGGGCCAATGTGTTTGATAAAAGTCGTTGAAATTACTTGGCTCTTTCTGGTACCTGCCATACAACTTCAAAATTTATTTGGCTATATCTCAGAAACTATAAAAGTTGCGGTATTGAAATTTCACACAAACAAATATATTAGTAGGGCCAATGTGTATGATAAGAATCGTTGAAATTACTTGGCTCCTTCTGGTACCTGCCATACAACTTAAATAGTAGTTTGGCACACACAGTATTTTGAAAAACACATAGTACTGAAATTTTGCATACATTAATATGGTAATACGGCAACTTAAAGTCATCGTCTGTCGCATAGTCAGTTATGGCATCTTTATTTGCATATAGGATAACAAATTCGTACGGGTATCACAGAGTTGACAAGGTCAACTCTATTTTTTTTCTCGTTTTTACATAAAACATAAACGTTGAACGTAAGACTTTACCTCTATATATAAGTAATAGGATTTCTATCGCAGACGAAACAGCATTCTATTTATAAACTATCGTCAAATATACTCCAGAGTAATTTCGGCTTTTATGCTCCTGCATCAATCGTACCGTCAAAATTTATAATGATTACCGATGGGTTATGAGCAATAATAACTAAATTTTATGAAGAAATTCCGTATAAAATTCATAATTTTATGTGGCAAAAAAAATTGAATTTTTATGATCTTAAAGATGTTTAAATAAACATGGCCACTCAAATTCAAATAATTTTATTTTCATAATAATTCATAATTTAATTTAGTTGTTTAACAACTTTGTTAATAAAAATTTTTTAATTCTCGTTTACAATTAAGTATAGCAAAATAAATGTACATGTAACATTTTTTATTCAAAATTAAAAAATATTGAAATCGTGAGAGCAATAATTTTGCATAAAAAGTCACACAATCATTAACTAAACTTACTGTTTTCTATAAGTAACTATAAGAACATGCAAATATTTACTTAAAAATAAGTAACCGAGTAATAAGTACTTGAAAAAATATTTTTTTTAAATATGTTAATAATTTATGCTTGCATGAATTTTACTTTGACCCACTACAATTTTAAATTTTCTTACAACAATATTATAACATTAATTGAAAAAAATACATGTATGTAAGTTATATTGTTTGTGTATGTATATATACAAAATATACATATGGCTATTTATATGTTTTACATTTTATTAGCAATTTATTTAAATTAATTTTGAAATTTTAAGATACTATCAATGACAAAAAGCAAAATTTAAATATAACGTAATTAAAGGACGTCGTAATTTCTAAATTTTTTTCTTTTTTAATTAAGATTAATATTTTCAACGACAGAAACTATAAGTATACGTACACTAGTTCTAAATATATATACATATACATTTTAAGATTATTATAAAAATTTGGCGTTCTATCGCTGTCACATATACTTAATATGTCAAACAAGTAAGAGTAAATTCCCACATATATGTAAGAGCGAAGCAAGAATATTGTGAATATATTGAAATTTTTATTAAACTTCTTCATCATAGCCAAATTGAATGTATACAAGTTAGTCTAATTCTTAATGCACATTATTTGCTTGTCTGCCTATGAAGTAATTTTGAAGAACATTTTTTGTACTAAATACATATGAAGAATTCTAAAAAATTAATAAAATATTAACAGATTCTAATGTTATCAATTGAAATGTTCTTAAGCCTACTAAGTAAATCGGATCAAACAAAGAAACGTCGTGTTATAAATGAATTCCGTTGTATTTAATCAAAAACTATTAACTATACTTAGTGTAATTTTCAATAACAACATTGAACCACAATATTGAAATCATAAGTTTTCAAAACTTATCCATTCAAACAAAATTTCAAGCATATACCACTTTAGTATATGCCATAAATCTTTTTTGAATTAAATTGCTGAGTGAAAATGTCAGCTAGTACATTTACTATAAGTAGTATTTTTTATCTCAAAAGTACTTTTGTAGAAAGTAAGCACTACTTAAATTGTTAACTATAATCTTACAAATAGTAGCATCCTAGAGTTGGGTCAAGTAAACCTAAATTTTTATTATTTTGTAAAAAATATTTTCAAGGTAAAATTAAATCCTTAAATATTTTTGAATATGAAAGTATGTAGTATGTATGTAAGTAAATATGTATAATTAAATTTTAAATTTTCAATGAATAATCAAGATTATTAATTTTTATATGTTTACATTAATGTACTTAATTACATTGTAAGTAAATTGAAAAACCAGAAAATACGTAATATTTACGTTTACTCGAATGTGGGAATATTTTCGAATATTGAACATTTCAAAATAAAAATAAGTAAGAAATTTGTTTGACATTAAAAATGAGAAGAAATTAATTACATATTTTTGCAATTATATTTGAAGCTCCACATTTATTATTATGAGTTGCAGAAAATGTTAAAATTCTGCAAGTACAGTTGAATTTTGTATAAAAAATTTATTCATTTTTATATTATTTTAATTGAATAAAGCTTTTTGAATTGAAATGTCATCATATCGAGTATCGAATTTTACTTAATAACAATTACAACAGTACTTATTTGTTTTTCAAAGAATCTCCACAAAAGTACAAATTTCCCATCACATAAAACGTACTAAGAAATAACGTATTGTACTAAAAATTCGCATAAGCGCCATAACATGAAATGGAATTCAAACAATTCAAAAAATTAGCAAGAAACAAGGTTCTAATTTCATTTAATTAAACTTTTATGCAATGAAAATATTTATTTATTTCAAAAAATAATTTTTTCTATATAAAAAAAAAATTTATAAAAATTATACTTTAAGCAAATCAATGAAAATTTTTAATATAAGTTACGAAAAAGTACTTGACAGGAACTAAGTACTTAAAGATTATTGTATTTATAATAATTTTCAATTCATTACAAGTACACTTATTTTGCAATTATATTTTAAAATTATAATATATAAGTAAACAATATTTTAAGAAAAATAAAAATAAGTAAATAAAAAATAATATGTACTTAAATAAATAACATAAATATAGGTAAGTATGTGCAGTTAAATACAGAATAAGTACAAAAATAGTACAATACACTATAAAAGAGAAAAAATAAACCAGCTGACGTCTAAAGCAAAAAAAAAATTATGAAAAATGTGTAAAAATCTCCACTACTACTATTACAAAAATAAGTATGAAAATTTTCCCATTTTACATATGAAGGTGTCGTTTTTCAAGGTTTTTTTTGCACAAGGACGTTTAATGAGTATATAAAGAAAAATAATTTTTTTTTTTGTTTTTTTATTTTATTTTATCCAAGTTATATTTATTCATAGAGGAAAAATATAGAACAGACAAAAGGTTGTTGTAATCATTTATAAATTTTTTTGTTTTTAAATTAAGTAAGATGAATTTTATTTATATACAATATGTATGTATGTATATACTTATACATACATATATATGTATACATTTTTTTCTGTTTTTCCGTTATTTTGTTATTTATTGTTTATAAAATTAAAAATATGTATTTTAAAATTTCAAATTAATTTAAAATTTCCAAAAGAAATTTATAAAAACTACAGTAGAGTCTCTTTAATCCGCAAAAATAAATTTGACAATTAAGTACTAATATTTATTATGTACTAAGTATACATCTAAATATTTAAACGTATTATAATTTGAAAAATGGTACTTGAACATTTTAAAACAAATTGGACGTATGAGGAATTTTGAATTTAATTTTAAGTACTTAAATCAATTTGTACTTAAGTACTTATGTGAATTACCAAAATATAATTTAAGTAGTAAAGCATTTGTCCTATAAAAATTTCTGATTTTTTTTTTAAATTACTTTTTAATGCTTTTAGATTTTTGCACTTATTTAATTTTAAATTTTCTTTTTTTGTATAGTTGTACTCAAGTATTTAATATGGACATTGTTACAATTATTTGAGAACGAACTGTTAATGAGTATAATTAATAATAATGTTTTTTTCTTTTTGGTTTTTTTTTCGAAAAAGGCAAAATAAATAAGAAATTGAATGTGGGTTTTATTGTTGAAACTCAGAAAATTGTTTTATAAAATTATAAGTAAAAATATTATAATGTATTTTGCAAATTACATACACATATAAGTACTTACATATATATTTTGAGATGAAGTACTTTATACTAAACAACTTACAAAAGTAATGTAACTAATTAAGTACTTATAAGTATGTTATATTAATTGCAACATTTGAGTATAATAATTTTAATATTTTTATTTTAAATTGAGAAATTTATAATTTTCTGAAAATCAATGCAAATAATCAAAATTTAAATTATTTTAATTTAATTTTTAATTTAAGAAATTATAAGTACTTAATATGAGTTAAGTTAATGAGTATTAACATTTAAATATTTTCGTATAAAGTACATATATAAGTAATACGAAAGTACTATTTACTTTTCATATTCATTTTACTGTGCTATTAAAAATGTGCTCGTTTTTTAGCTCACGTGCAGAGAGAGAGAGCAGAGAGAGTTTCACCAGAGAAAAGATATATAAGTATGTGCATAAGTACTTATATGTACATACTTTGAATTTGATAAATTAAAATCACCTAATAATAGGTTAATAGGTATTTTTAGGCCATTATTACTGAGTATTTATGTACTTTAGGGATTTTCTTAATCAATTGTTTAATTTTAACTAAGTACCTATTTAAAATCTATTTTATTAAAAAAAAAAAACAAAGAAACCTAATTTTTGTTTTGTTAAACTGTTATACACATTCATATAAATTGTAATTTAATAAATACCCAAACTGATATACATATACTTATATCATAAATATATTATTATATTGTATAATAATATAAACAATAATATTTATAGATTTATTTTTCAAAACTTTTCTCATAAATATTGGAAAAAAAAAAATTACGCTTAAAACTAAAAAAAAAAAAAATTTTAAATAAAAATTAAAATAACATACCATATAAATGTATATATATGTTTGTAAGCATATATATACACAACGTGTATAAAAGTAGATAATTTTCCTTATATTTTGTTATATTTTTCTCTGCTACTTATTTTTCCATATAAGTATTATATTTTTTACTTTGTTATTTATATGTATACCTTTTTTTTTTTTTTACTCCAAAATCAGTATAATATTTTTGTATATCAATTTATATACTGATGTGTATTATAAATAATGTACATATACATGTGATGAGTGTTTTTTTTTTCACGAAATATACATTAAAGTATATTAATAATAGAAGTATATAATATAACGGTATATAACATTATAAATTTTACATAAGATTACATTTCACATACTGACACACTGACTGACTTGTGTTTTTATTCTTTCATTCTTTCTTTCACAAGAAGGGGTTGTTTTTTTTTCGGTTTTCTTTTTATTTTGTATATTATGTTTCTCTCTTTTATTTTTTTTGTTTCAGAAAATATATTCTACTGTTATACTATTTTCTTTTGTTTTGTTTGTTCTTTTTTTTTTTGTTATAATTTTACTATACACATTACTTTTTTTCTTTTATTAATAATGTAGCTAATTATTTATTTATTTATATTTTAATTTTAATTTAAAATATATATATATGGATAATTTTTTTAAATGTGGCGAATAATTAATTAAAAATATATATATATAGGTAAGTATATATAATAAGTAATAAAAATGAAAACAATATTTTTTTTTTTTGTTGTTGTTGTTTTTAGTTATATTTTAGTTATATTTATTTAAATAGGACTTTAAGTTATTTTATTAAGTGTATAAGTATTTTTTTAAATTTTAATTATGATTTTGTTTTTTTTTTTTTCAAATATATAGGTATATGTTTAGGTATATAATTCATTCTTATAGGTATATAATATAATAAATATAATAAGATTTCAAAAAAATATTAATTATTTTAATTTTAAATTTTTGTTGTTTTTGTTTTTTTTTTGGTTTATAAATTTTTATTATTTTTTATTTTAAATGTATTATTATTTGTGTTAGTATAGGTAATATATTTGAATTTTGTTTTTTCTCTTCTCTTAATATTTTAATTAAATTTTTTTAAAGCAATTTTTTTTTTGATTTAATTAATCTAAGTAAATGAATTTTTGTTTTGATTTTTTTCTTTAAATATCATAAATATTATTTTTTTTTAAATATATTTCATATGTATTTTGTATATATATATATATATATGTATAAATTAATTTAATTAATATATTTTAAAAAAATTTATTTTTTTTTTTTTTTTGTTTTATAATATTATTAAAGATTCAGAAAAAAATTTTTAATTTTATATTTTAAAGCGATTTTTTTTTTATTTTGAAATATTTATGAATTATAATTAAATTTTTTTTTTTTTGATTTTGCTTTTTTCTAATAAGAGTAAATATTTAAAATTTTTATTTTGAAAAATTTGGTTTTCTTTTTTTAAATTTTTTGCTTCTTTTTTATAAACATTAAATTTTATCTTTTATAATTGTTATATAAATATAGCTAGGTAGTAAGGTAAGTATGTACTTAAAGATTTAGAAAAAAAAAAAAACAAAAAATAAACAAAAATAAATTTTAAGTAATAAGAATTTAATTTAAATATGTATACCTATATTAGTGTAAATATATTATATGTATATATATATGTATGTATGTAATGAAATTTCTCTTTTAATAACACTTTTTATTTAATTTCACTACTTAATAAATATTTTTTTTAAGAAATTTTTTCTATATTTTGAATATTATTCCACTTTTTTTAATTTATTATACATGTATGTATATGTATGTACCTATTTATGTACATATTATTTATTAATTATAAATTTTGTATAATATATTTTAAAAATAGGTAGGTACCCATATATACATAAGTATTATATTCATATATTAATATTACACATTTTCAACAATTTTTAATAAAATTTAAAAAAAAAAAATAATGTTTGTAATTTATAAGAATTCAAAGAGAAAATTTTTTTGTATATTTAATATTGAAATTTTAAGACTAGAGAAATTTGATATAATAACAATAACAAGAATAACAAGACCAAAACAACAAGAATAATTTTAATGAATAAAAGAAAATATAATTAGAAATAAGGTAGGTTAAATACTATTGTATATTGTTGAAATTATTTTTTTTTTTTTTTATTTTCTTTTGCAATTTTTCTTTTTGTTTAGAATCAGTTTGTTTATTTATATATTATTTTTATAAAAGCAGCCAATCTATTATACATATATTTTATTGCATATTCAATATTATGTGCCTACATATGTACATATTTGTTTTTAAATAATTTTTTGTTTTTTTTTTTAACTTTTTCTAAAAGAATTTTCTTTCATCATATAATATATTATAATTATTATTCACATTTGTATATTCATATATATATATGTATATGGATGTGTGTGAAAGTATTTACTTTATATTATATTGTATATTTTATTTATTTTCAAATTTTTCATTTGTTTTGCTTTATTTTAGGTATTATAGATGGTAAGGTACATACATATATATGTATGTATGTACATATATACATAATTTTGTTTTTATTATAATTATGTATGGACTTGAGGAAAACGAGAAAAAAAATATTTATTATGTGTGTAAAATTATGTAATTGTGTATGTAATATAATTAAATGTTTAATATATAGGTATTTTTAAAATGTTATTTATTTATATAATTTATTTTTTTTTTTTTATATAAATATTTTATTTTATTATAAATAACGTATTAATATAATTAATATACACGGTTTGTATATTGCATATATTTATATAGATTTTTTTTTTTTTTGCTTATAAAATTTTTTGTTTTCTTTTTTTTTTTAATTTTTCTTTATTTTGTTATACATATTATATTTTAATGTGATGTGTACGAAAGTAAGTATATTTTGTATATATATATATATATATATATATATGTATGCATATGTTTCTCTTGCTTGTTATATTTTTATATATTCACTCTCTCGGTTATATTTCATTTCGCTCTCTTTGTATATTCGGTTTTTTTTTGTTCTTTTTTATTCTTTTTGAGAAATAGATTTTTCTTTTTTTTTTTTTGCTTTTTTTTTTTTTGCCTTAATAAAAATTCCTTTTCGAACAAAAATTTTTTTTTTTTTGCTTAAGAATTTCTATTTAAATATTTTAATGTATTTAAATAATTTCTTTTTTAATAATTAACTAATGGACTTAATTTCAATTATATTAAATATTTTAAACAAAACAATAATGTTTAATTAAAGTTTTTTAATTAAATTTAAAGCACACAAAAAACTAGTATATACATTTTTTTTTTCTAACTTTTTTTTTCTTTTTTCATTGAAATTTGACGTAGAATTTTTTCCTATCTATCTTCTCAAAATAAAAAAAAAAATCTGACGTTTCATTTTATTTTTGTTATATTTTTACTTTTTTTTTTTCTTTCATTTTCACTTATTTGTTTTTGTTGTTTTATGGTATATTTATGTCAAGATAATGTTCTAAAAAAAAAAAAAGAATGACAAGTGATATAAGAATAGTTATGTAGTTGGAACAATTGTGAATATAATATTTTGAAAAATGTCATTTTGTGCTAAAAGAAAAAAAAAACTAAAATTATTTAATATTATTGATAACTGTAAACATTATAAAATTGTTGGATTACGTATAACAAATATGGTTTGTAATTTTATAATTAATTCACAATTAATTTTAATGAGATGAAAAAGGAATTATTTAATATATTTCCTTTATTATTTCGGTCTGCGTGGTGTACTAAATCAAAAATTACTACAATGCAATTAATTACTATGTAAATATAGCCTAGAATTAGAAAGAGTTCTTCAGACATAAAAAGTTTCGTGAAATTAGAAGGAAAATTTTTCGTGAAATCAGAAGGAGAACATGTCTTGAAATTTCAAAGCATTCTTCAATAATTTATAATAAATTTGTTGATTATGTAGTATAATAGCAAAAATGCCAAAATAATTAATAAGATATAAAATTTTGATCCTAAGTTTATTGTACAATGAAACTTAAATTACTTCCCTACAAGTACGCTTTTTTGTGAAGATTTCAATAAACTTTTCATAAGCAAGAACTAATATATATTTTAATTATATATTTTCATATTCCTATTTGAATAAAATAAATTGAACAAAATATTTCCAATATTTTTCATGTTTTGAACGATAGAGGTCGAAAAAATTATTAAAATAACGTCAAGAAATGTATATTATTTGTCAAAAAAATGACATTTAAATGTCTTAATATCAAAAACAATCTACATGTGAAAAATAAGAAATGTAAACATTTCTTACCAAATACAGTGTATAATTTAATACAATTAAAAATATATTTTCAGACTATTTTGGATAAATTAGTTTTATCAAAGTTTATCCCATTATTAAGATGATAACATGGAAAATTCTTCGTCCAACTAATCAGATTATTGGGCAACTTACTCGCAGTTTTAAATCAGATTTAAAAATAAAATGGGTTCGTCCGGAGAAAATCGCTAGCACTGAACCTATAAAAAGTGGTGATGCTCCAACGTTACCTAATTTAGATCCAAAAGAATTCGTATTAAAATTTCGTGGGATTCCTGAATTAGAACAGTATGTTATTAATAAAAAATCTTTAATTATTTGTTGATTTGAAAAATTTAAGTATGAAGTTTACATGTCTTCACAAAAATACTCTTACAAACATTGAAATATCTATAGTTATGAATTTTTAGGGCCGATGAAATCGTTAAAGATTTATTCCGTCTTCAAAATAATCGCCGACCTTGTACTTCGCAAATTTATAAAGAAATGTTTATAACTGATGTCCAAAGGCATAAACTAGATAAAGGTTCAATGGAAGCTAGAAGTAATAAATCAATTTGAATTTGTGATCAATATAAAAAGATATAAGTAATTTTAAATGTTTTTCAGTTGCCGGTATGACTGCAGCTATTCGGCGTCTTCAAGATTTAATGAGAGAACACCCAAGAAATATTCGTATTAAATGTATTCTTAAGGAACTGATTGATAAAAGAAAGAAGTTTCTTAAATATTTACGACGTTGGGATTATAAACGATTTGAATGGCTATTGGAAAAGTTGGATTTGATTTACAAACCAGCACCATCTCAATTTCATTGGATAACAAGAAAAGAGTCTTTGCAAAAATTAACTAATACTCATTGCGAAAATATTAGACAAGAACGTTTAGATGAATATCGGAAATATTTACAAAGTCAACAAATAATTTTCCTTGAAACAAAAATTAATAATTTAGAATTTATTCGCAAAGAACAGGAGGAATGTCAAGTTGAAGTGACCGTTTCATTAGACGACATTGCTAAAGTTAAGAAACAATTAAGTGAACTCAGAGAAGCTAGAAAGTCGTTAGAAGATAATAAAGAAAAAACGGAAAGTTGAATTATGTTGACAATATTTTAAATTGAAATGAATATAAAGTTTAAGATTTCTTTTAATATGTATGCGGTTATTTTCAAATAAAACAACTATATAAAATTTTCAAGAATGAGAATTTTCCTAATTTTTTTTATTTTAATTACTTTTTTCAAATTATTTATAATCAATTCAATATTATTGTTAAATTTCCATATTCTATAATAATTATTATTACATAATAACACTATAACACCTATCCAATTTGTTTCAAAATTTATATTTCCTATCAATTTTGCATGCATATCTTCGATTTATTGTAAATTAAAAGTTTAAAATTTATTGGTTTTCAATAATGTAATTATTTGCTCTTAAACATGGCATGAGTTATTTATTTTTGTGTATAATTATTTACAACTTAAACTGAGTGACAACTACCCTAAATAATTTTACTTAAAGACTTGTCATTGCCGGTGGCCGAGCGTATGCTTTCGGGATAAATCCATATTTTCTTGTTTTTGGAGCATATGCCCAAAGCCAACCGTCTACTGTTTGGTTATTCAAATCCGCATATATCCAGTCACCACGTCGCACTGATAAATCATCTGGTGCTTGGGCCTAAAAAGATAGTTATATTATCAAATTCTAAAACAAAGATTTTTTTGTTAAATACACTTACTTTGTAATCATAAAGCATAACCATTTGCTGTCCACCACCACCACCCCCAACAGCTGTATTTTGTTGTTGCTGTTGTTGCTGTTGATGCTGGTTATTATAGCTATTCGCATTTAATTGACTATTAACATTTGCGGCTGTATTACAATGTAGCGCTGTTGTTAAATTATCCTGTAAGTTTAAAATTCCATTATTCTGATTTGAAACAATTGTTTGGCCATTTAGTTGTTGAGTTTGCTGCTGTTGATGTCCTTGATGTTGTTGCTGTTGTCCATTTGCAGGTTTTCCTTGAAAAACATTGTCAGCTGGATAAACAAAACCCGAGGGTATAAAACCCTCTTGACCATCACTTCTTACTATCCAAAACCAATCTGGGTCCTCACGATTTAAAACTGTTACAAATTCACCACGTTCTACTGAAACATCATTTTCGTCTCTTGCAATAAATGTATATAGAACAATATAACGACCACTTGGATCTTTAGCAAATGGTATGAAATCGGGTTCAGAACTTTGCAAACTTGCTTGAGAATGTTTTAATGGCGATTGTAAACCATTACTAATACTTCCTGCACCGCCACCTCCACCTATTCCAGTCGGATCATCTAACATTAGTTCAGGAGATGCGATTGATCCAGCATTTGCATTTAAACCACTCCCAGTAATACCACCAGAAGCATTTTCACTTACACTAATACCTATTCCATCAGTCAAATCATTTGGTAATAATTGATCTCTAGGTAATTTTTTTTTAATTGCCATATCAGCTAATTGTGTATTATATGGTGCACAATATGAGTGTGGTATAAAGCCTTCTTGTCTTGTATCTTGACCAATAACATAAACCCAATCATTTTCTCTATATAAAATATTAACAATTTGTCCACGTTTAACTTCTAATTCATCATCAACACATGGTGTAAAATCATGTAGAACAACCATTTTTGAATCTGGACTTAAACCATGTTCTTTTTCAATTCCCACTCTAACTAATGTTTCAATACTCGCTGAACCAGTAATACGTCCCATTCCATGATTAAGACCTAATCCACTGCCTGGTCGTGAATCAATATCATTATTTGAATCTAAAATTAAAAATAAAATGTATAAATTATTTTTTTTATTTACATAAAAGTGAAATTAACAGTTTTAAAATATTCTTGTTTTAGAATGTGTACGCATTACATAGGTATAAGCTGACTTCTATGGTCTTCTTTGTTCAAACAGAGGGCTTGACAACAAGTTTTACCCTAAAGTAATTAAAGTTTCAGGTATGTATGTACATACTTGCTTTTAACTGTTAACAATTGATTAAGTAGGTTTACTAAATTTTTAGGGCTAACAGTTGAAATCTACTGAATACCGTGGCTAAGATGTTTAAAAATAAGATTTCCAAACAATTACCATGCTTAAAAATAAATATTACATTTATTTTTGTAAATATTCAACCTCATTCATCAGTTCATTAAATATACATATATATATATATATATATATATATATAAAATAAAAAACTATAAAATCGCGAAGTTAGCTTGATGTATTAAATTAAAATAATAACATGCTTAATTTCATACTACATAGAATGTTATACGAGATGCAGAGATAGTTACGGTTAATGAATAAACTTGCGTTCTGTAAAATTTTGTAAAACATCCCCAATTTCTATATTGTACTGGCATATTATACTACATTATATAAAATCATAATAGTTGAATAATATGAGCTATGGTCCAAGTGTAATTATCATAAAATTCTTTTGAATACGTGTATAATTTTCCAAAGTATTAAAGGAAATATTTTAAAATATTCTTCTTGTACCTACAAGAAAATGAAAATAACTAATTTAATTTTTTGTTTTTGTTTGTAAGGAACAATATTATTTATGCAAATTAATAAATTGTTGATGTTATTTTTTTTTTAATTTTAATCACCACAGATTTTTTATATCCCAATTATTATTGTTATTCTACCATTATACTTGTACTTAGCTAGTTCGTTAGAGAATAACAATTTTTTCATATTTACTTACTTTCATTTGAATTTCCGGTCATTCATCTTTTTCCTATTTCTTTTCAATGAATTCTTAATCTTAATAAAATTTTGCATAAATTTCCTATTTTCTAATTTATTTTTACTTATACATTGTATACAATGTATAAGATTGCACCCATGCACTGAATTTTTAATATTTAAATGGAGGAAATCTTTTCACGGTTCTGGAATATTAAACATTTTTTCGTTTTCTGTTTTCTCTTTTTTGTTTGTTTTTTAATTAATTAAGTTTTCATTTTAATTATATTTCATGTATTGTATATTAATTTCACTAAGAAATTTATTAAAATATGAGTGAATTTAATTTTATAAGCAGAAAGAGGGTGTTGGTGTAGCTATAAGTACAATTATTTAAAAATATTAAATTTATTGAGACGTCACTCAAATGTCAGTCATTAATATTTTTCTTTTAATTTAAATTACATATATTTAATTAGAATTAAAATAACTATTAATATTAATAACAGTTAATTGCTTGCTTAAATATAACAACTCTTATCCGCCAATGGGTCTGATAAAGTACATATACATTTTATTCGCAATGAAGCTCGAATATGCAGTCATACACATAATAATCGCAGGATGTAAACTATTTCCATATTGTAAGTAGGCTCATTTTATAATTTTATAACAGAATATTTTTTATTTTAGTTTTAGTTGACTAGAGATATCGAAATAGAAGCAATCTAATCATTTAACAGAATATCAACTATAGAAAGAGAGAAAATGAACTCTTATTTTAAATTCGATTATTTCAACTTATTAAATGAAGAAGCTTTTGCTGGTATAAGAAAAAATATATCTAATTAGTATCTTTATCTTTAAAAATAATATTCCTCGCATAATCTTTCAAATTATAAGGTCTCACTCTAATTCACATTTACAATAATTCACACAGAATTACTTTTTTCCAGTTTTTTTAACATTTTTTCTAAATTTAGTTACAAAATTCCAAAATCCATATGAAATCTATTTGTACTCGTAAATATTACATATGTGTGTACATATTATTATGCTATATAAAATTCATATGTTTGTATGAATAACGTAATGTGGGAAAATATGGTATGGTATGTAATAAATGTACTTCTATTTCAATTAAAATTAATGCAAATTTCATTCTTTCAATAATTTTGCATTTAAATAAACGAAATTATAATAAATATTAACTGTATTTCAACTTCATTATTAAACATATCTTATGTAAGAATTGTGAACTTTAAAGTGTCCAGGATGTAGAACCACTTATCATCAATTATACCATATTTAGTTTAATGGAAATTTTTAATATAACTTTTTTTTTGTTTTCTTCTGTTTTATTTCAACATTATAAAAAAATGGAAAAATTGAATTGAAAAATGAAAAAATTAACTTGTTAATTCATCCATAAAGTTAATCGAAAAAGTAATAAGTAATATAATAATAATTTTCATGATTATTAAAATTTTTTCCCATAATTTCTTTTTTTTTAATAATAAGTTACTTTGACCTTATCGTGTTAAATACAAATTAAATGTTTATCAATTTTATTCAAATAGCAATTTAATATATATTTTTATATTTTAGGAAATATTTGGTTCCATAGTAGTCCTAATTACACAAACGTACATTTTATGGAATTATCAGGAATTACGTTAAGTTTGAATCTTAATTCTAGGCTTCAGCAGTAATTCCTACATTATGAATTTTCTCTATTTAAATATAAATGTCGCTGATTTATTATTCTAATAAATTGAAGATAAATTAAGGAAATTAAGGCGCAGACTCAGACAAACGAAGGAATCACCGCAAAAATAGTTTACTTACATTTTTCTTACATGGAATACACTCTCGTTAAAAATACTTCAAAATACCTCGTCTATTTTATGAGATACGCGGTCAATACCAAAAACTAAAATACTTTTTGTAAATTAAATAAATTCTTTTCTATATTAATTTTGAATATATATAGAAAATTGAAAGTTCATTATTATATACATACGTATACAAAATCATATTCAAAATTCTAGGTGTATTAAAATTAAAATATTCTATTATATATTATTTACAAATAAGAAAAATTCCATTCTATACTTAAGTTACTCTTATATTACACAAATAATATTTTTAAAGGTTGTTTGCATTGAACTGATTTAAATTACAACATATTCAACCTACACGGGTAATTTAATCTTTTGTTTTTAACCATTCTCAGATAAGATAAAATTATTGAAAACAACTTAAGTATACGCAAATAAAAAAAAAATTGTTTACAATAAAAAATTTATTAATTTATTAATGCAAAAAAGGCAAAAAAAAATATATCGCTTAGAATATTAGATAAATAAATGTAACACATGGTACAGGATGTTTCGTTCAAGGTTGAACGCTATTAATGTAATATGAACCAGAAAGGATTTTGTAAAATGGTCAATATTAATAACATTGCCATGGTATTTTAATATTAGAATCATATTGAAAAAATTAAATATATTGAAAATCATATTGAAAAATATTTATAATTAATAATTAAATTTTTTAAATTTTAGGTTGGATTTAATAATAGAATTATGATGAAACCATAATACGAATGATGAAAAATATTGGTGATGCGATCAGCATATAAAAATTTCTAGAAGAAAGAATCTAAAGCTATTTAAAAAAATTTTATCCAAAAAAATTTGAAGGAGAATATAAAACATTACGAGCTTTTATTTGAATGTATATATATTAAATTTAATTAAGTTCATGATGAATATTTTTTGATGACATGAGAAGAATGATAACTAGAACAAGAATTTTATTATGTATATTTCAGTATATATTTAATTGTATTAATAGTAGTATGAGATTTCGATTTCAAAATCAGTTTTAATTAGATTTTCAAATAATTTAAAGCCTTTCTTTAAATTTAAAAAAATTATTTAAAAAATATTTTGTATTCAAAACTTTTATTTATAGGTTAATTTATTTAAGAATTTATCTCTATTTGTAATATTTTTGGTATATAAAAGTTGATATATATAAATGTACTTATGCAATATCTTTATTTTGTCTAACTATTTAATAGACTAAATCTGCTTAATATAAGTACTTATAGATTAAGTATATTAATGACAATTAGCCGAAATGATTATTAATTACATATTATGTATATCCAATCATAAAATAAGTTAAGTAAATAATTTTATGTTAAGTATTAGGAATAAATACTAAATACTATTATAGAAAAAAATAATATACTGAAATATGGTAGATGGTAGAGAGCGTAGAAAAATGGTAGGTCACTTATTCGAGTCTAGTTGAAGGAGAAAAATTTTGTAATTTTTCTGCCTTGATTCGTTACATTGATTACATTATCCATCTGTTCTACAGTTGTATAATAGTACAAATATTTATTTGTACATATAGATACAATTAAAATCTTATAATAAGTAAAAGATATTATTTTTCATTAATTAATTATTGTAACTTCAGCCATTGCAATAATTTAAAAACTCTATTACACAATTTATTATAAAGTAAATTAATTAAATTTTATTTTTGAAACATTAAAATAGACTTTTCTACAATATATACAGACTTCTTATCCATGAACAGGTTATTTTAGCATAAGTTGTGTTACAAGAAACTCTATAATATTGAAGATCAGAAACTATTTCTTATACCCAAAAATTACAATATTCAATATTTTCGATTACTCATAATTTATAAGTTTTTAACCAATTCATTAGAAGAATCAAAAATTTTATACGCTTATTTTGTTTTAACTTTCAATTTTTTTTTTAACTAATTAAAATATATGGAATATAGATTATAAAAACCGGAGAAAACAGCCAAAACTTAAAGAAAAAAAAAACAATCCCCCATTTAATAAAGTAAGAAAATGAAGCCTTATTAAAGGTGTTATGAAAAACTATTGAGAAAAAGATGAAATGTTGTACAAAAATATTTTATACATTATGCTTATGTATGTGTAACTTTAATTTTACTGCACCATAAAATAGATTTTTTTTTTTTTTAAATCCAGAAATCAAGTTCTTCGTTATAGTCTTTTGATGTTTAAAACACATGACACAATATGTGTATGGTTACAATATAGCTAAAGAACAGAAATGTAAATAAGTGAAGAGTAAATGAAATGGGTACAAAATATCACATTTATGTTTTCTAATACACATTCTTCATTAGACGGTTTTTACAATTCTTTTCTAATGTTAAATATTTATATTTTCTTTATATAGAAAAATCACATCGTTAATTAAAACCTGATACCTATTATTCTTTTCTATAATAAAATTATGTATAATATATATATCATAAATAAATTTCCGTAATTTATTAAAATTCCATTTTTAATTATGATTTTGCATTTTACAATATTTATGGAACATAAATATTGTATGTAGCTACTATTTGCGGTTTTTTTTCTTAACTTTATGTAATTAAATATTTTTTTAGTATTTATGTATATTATTTTTACTGTAATACATATCAATATCTATATATATATATATTTTGATTCTTACTTCCTTAATAAGAAATATATTGTGTTCCTTTATATCTAATTTGACTTATATTAGTGTATATAATTAAAAAACTCACATAAATTCATTCAACTATAAATTTATTATTGATATTTGATTATAATGTGTTAAAATTCTAATTAGAATTTTAAAAATAATAAAATTTTCTTTTCATATTATTATGAAAGAAATTCTAATAATAATGAAAACTAAAACATACGTATATTTAAAAGATTTTAATAGCAATGAAATGAAAAAAAAAATATAAAAACACACAGTCATCGAACTTTTTTCTTTTGTTTTTATTCTTTTACTTCTAATATTCTCATCGAAATTATAATGATTTGTTTTTAAGAAAATAATCATATTAAGAACAAAAAAAAAAATAACAATAAAAATATTATTAAATACATTTTAATATAAGAGAATATAAACAAAAGAAAATCAAAATATACAAAAGATTTCCAGGAATATTTTCTATATTATGTATATATACACGTGTGTATATATATACATAATATAGAATGTACACTAAATACACATATAGCTTAAGTCCAATTCATCAATTTTATAAGAGAAACATTTAAAATATTTATTTTTTCCTTCTTCACTCTAACGGGGAGAGCATAGGGCTAGTGTATGATATCATTAGGTTAAGTCATGCCCTAGTTTCATTGAGTCATAGAGTTTTAACCTAGGTAGGTAGGTAGATGACTAGTCTGTCCCAGTTGTTTTCCTTTTATATTAATTATTTAAGGTTAATTAATATTTATTGTTTATTTTTCTTAGTTTTTAATATCGAATATTAATGAATACTAATATGAAAATTACTTGTATACTAGTATTTATAAGTATTGTATGATTAAGTTGATATTAGACTATAATTCTAGTAGTTATTGACTTTAATTTTAATACTGACCTGACTGGGGCTTGAACCCGAGACCCTTCTGTTAAAGTATCGGTGCCATAACCACTGGTCATTTCAAATAATATTAAAATTAATAACCATCAATGGTCATTTAAAATATTACTTAAGTATAAAAATAAATCAAAAATTGAGAATTTTTTTTTTTTATTTAAATTTATAAAAGAGACAATTAAAATCCTATTGTCGTTTCCATAATTATTTCAATTCCAATTGAATTCGCAATTTAATAATTACTTAAATTTTACATTTTCGAAAGAAAATAGTGGTCTTATGTTAATATTAGTAAATAAAGAAAATTAAATTTGATAAAGAATTTGAGGAGTTTCCGTTTATAAATCCAAATTTATGACTTAAATAACTTTGATATTAAAAATATCTATTAATAACTTAAAATTTTTATTAAAGTACATTTTTGATAGAAGTTCAATATTTCACTGTGATAAGTACACTGTAAATATTAAATTGTCAATTGTCAAAAATTTGTCAAGTTAGAACTGTCAATTGTCAAAAAAATTCTTCAAATAAATTGATCAAATATAATGAGATCTATAAAATGAACGAATCTTAATTCATTTCAAATATTAAAGACACATGATCACGACCCTAATATCAAAATAGTTGCATGAATATTAATTAAATAGGGAAATTTCTCAAACTTTGTTTCTCATTACTTTATAAATGAATTTTGATTATTACATCATAATTACTTATCTCAGTTATTTAATTTTTGAAATTGTTACACTCTAGAACTAGACGTATCGGCTAAAATTATTGTATATATACACATAATATGTATATATAAATTTGTATATACACGAATCTTTTGAGAAGAAACACAGAATAATAATTCGAAGAGGATACAAAAAAAAAAAAAAAAAGAGAGGAAGAGGGAATATACATTCATATGAGATTAAAGAATTGAGAATTGAATCGAAAATGTACCTGTTTTTTTTTGTACCTGTTGCATTAATTTTATTATTTAATAAAGTAAAAATAAAAATTTTAAATAAAATATAATTTGGAATTATTAAAAATTAGAAAATTTCGTATCTACACATAATTAGGGAAATTTTATTTATCCTTTTTTTATAATTTGGAAGAATAAGGAATTGCTTAATTATCCACAAAGTTTTACGAACTTTAAGAATATTATGCTTTAATTAATCAATTCAACTTTATAAATAACAATTCGAATTAAAATACAAAAAAAAAACTCTTGAATAAAACTCGAACTAAAAATTTTAAACTTACTTTTTTTCTTTTTACCCCGTCGTATTCGAACTGGGCAAAGAAATGCCATTTTGCAATGTCACACACCAGAATTAATATATAAATAACAATTAAACAAAAAAAAAAAACAACAAAATCTGAATTTTCTTAAATTCAACAACAAAAAAACAAAAAAAAAAATTGATTTTATTTTTTAATTATTTTTTTCCTTAATAATCACATAATTATAAAATTTAAAAAACAATTCATTTTTTAAACACTTTATTTTTTCTCTTCTCAAATAAATTTTTTTTTTTTTAAATTTAATATTTTTTTGTTTCAATTTTATAAATTTTTTCTACTCGTTTTAATACTCATAAGATTTTTTTCTTTATTTATAAACTATTTTAAGAAATATTTTACCACGATCATCACCCGCTTCGACGAAATGATGAAAACTTGACTGGTCAACCACCAGCCAGCCAGCCAATCTATAGGAGCAAGAAAACGAAGAAAAATTTTCTCTATAAGTTTGAATGAAAAAAAAAAGAAGTTATTTTTTTTTCTGGTGTCTTTAAAAGACAAACCAAAAATATTGGTTAGAGTGAGATGGTTGGCTACTTGGTTATGGTTATTATTATGGTAGTTATTTTTTTTTTTATCAAAGAAGAATAGTTAACATTATTGTAAAGATTTCACTAATAAATAGTGACATCTATCGGTGGATATTGAATATATAAATAGTTTTATTTTAAGTAATTAAGGGTTTTAGTATCTAGTAATATCAAGTCTAGAATATAGCAAATTCTAAGTACTTTAGTATAAAGAAATTATTTTCAGAAATAAATGAAATGGAAATTCCAGTTATAACTACTAAGAAATTATAGTTAAAAAAAAGTATTTGAAAGGATGTATTTGTAGTTAAGGCACTGATTTTCTGGCAGCTTCCCAAAAGTATCATATAAATTTTGTTGATTCAAAAGTATTACAAGTTCTCAAAACTTCTTGCAATGGCTGCTAAATTACAACTTTTCAATGCGGAAATTACAATTCTTAAACAATTACAGTTCTTAAACTATATATTTAGAATTAAAATAAAAACTCGCTATAAAAATAGACTTGCATACATAAAACCCATAACTTCCGGGAGTATAAGAGTAGTGTATCCAGTAATTTATTAATTGTAATGGAAATACAACTGGTAAATTTACTTTATCCTTCAAAAATAAATCATTCAAAAGTAAATTATTTATTTTTTTTACAAACAACAGTTCGGCACTTTTTGTTAGTCTACTAAAAAATTGGGATAAAAAAAAAATCCTTAACTATTATTTTTTACAAATTATACAAAATGAATTAAAAAAATTCCTGACAACAATAATAATAATGATATTTATAACTAAATATCATAATTTTACTTTGAAATTTAAAAGATCTTCTGGTTTTTCTGTCCAACTACCAAAAAAATCAGTTTTCAAAGAGTTCCAAGCGTTTTGATAACATTCTGATAATATTTTTAATTCTTTATAAGAAAGTTGTAATTTAGATTCTCCGATTTTTCTCAAAATCTTATCTTTTATCGTTGGGTAATGGTTAACGACTTCAATGAATTTTTTTGATAGCATAAATTTAGATATTTGAAGTACTCCACATAATGGTGATTTTTCAAGCGCTTTTTTTGTAATACCTTGTTTTTTACCATTGATTGCGTTTTCTAAAGGTCTTAAATGAAAAAAAAAAATTAGTTAGAAAATGTAGTTTAGCACAAATTTATATAGGCAGGTACTTACTTTTCGTTTTCTGGTGTATTACACCAAGCAATACTACGTGGTGATGGTTTCTTATCATCTAATTTAGTTAAGTAAAATATTGTATCACAATTTATTCTTATATCCGGTTCTTGCAGTATATATCTATCATTTATAAATTTTTTAATTTTCCATCGATTATAAATTGCTCTTTTAATCGATTCCATAACATGAATTTCATAACAGAAATTCAATGTTTTAAAATATATTGGATCCTTTAATAATAAATCTAATAAGGCACCTTGAACACCAAGTATATTCCACTTTGATAATTTATCACTACATGACATTGATAAAGTTCTAACACCTCGACCAGGTTTCGTACGTAAAGCTCCTTCTTCTTGATTCAATGGATCATTTTTTTCTCCTGTTATTGAATTATATCCTTTTATAATACCTAAAATTTTAGCACCAGTACAAACATAATCACTATCTAATTTTGTTTTTTTCGATGCAACAGCTTCGTCGTTATTCTCTGTAATTGTTGCATCACCACAAGGAGGATGTGTACTAAAGAAATGATATGTTATATCAGGATTTAAAGAAAAGTAACATTTTGTTTTATCAAATTGAAAAATTTCATTATTCTTAAGCATTTCACTATAAATATAACGAAGAAATGATCTGCGGCAAATAATTTCAGCATGTGAATCATTAAGAATTGTACCATTTGGACACATTTTATCAACTCCTTGAACAAATAAAAAAAACAAAAATACAATTTTATTTTGAGCACAAATTATATAATCTTACCTATACATTTTGTGCCAGTTCCAAGTGCAACTACTTTGCATTCTTTGGATTTTTGATTATATTCGATAATAGTTGAAAGAATACTCCATTGTTCAACGTCATTTTCAATATTTTTTATTAAATTTGTAAATTTTTCAATTGATATTTCAGCTATTTTTTCACAAGATGGATATTCAGTCATATTTTATTTAGAAAATAACTTAATTTTCCAAACTAAACAGAAGTAAGTAAATTTCATCTTCATGTTTACGTGCAAATGTGACGTTTCGCACATGTTGATTGTTTTGAAGACTTTAGTTAATAACAGTCAACATGGTGCAATGACAACAGGTTGATTTCGTAATTTTTGATTGTTTACACTGTCATTCGTTTTAAAAATGCATATTATGTCTACAATTTTTTTTTAATCTGCTTATTTTTTTTAATAATTGCCATTCAATAATAACGGAAGGAGAAGAATATAAAGCATGCTGTTTCCCTTGTTAGTTACTTGGGCAGGAAACTAATAACGATCGAAAATAAATAAGTTGTTCAAAAAATTTTTAAAGAACTTAATTCTCTTATTAATTCGAAGCCTAAGTTTTTCGTTTTTCAATTTTCAATAATGAATTTTAGTTTATTTGAATAAAAACTAACAAATCAAAGAAAAAAATTAAAATGACAAACGTCAAAGCATTAAGAAGAATGAATTTATTTATTTTTTAATTGGATTACAGCGGCATCTAACATTTTGTTAAAGAATCTACAACTTATAGAAATGAGAAGCAGCTCCATCTCTGCGCTGAAAACATATTCAATGAAAAAAATTTCAAAACAAATTTTAATAGAAAGTTAATTTATTTATAAAATTACTAATGAAATGGAACAGCACTCTGTTAATAGATAATTATAGCAAATTAACTTAAATATTGAAATAAATATGGTACGGTGCAAAATAAATATGTGCGCATAAATATTCATTAAAATCCTTAAAAATTGAGACTATATATTTAAAATTATTACTAAGAACACAAACCACTATGTTGTTTTCGTTCATTTAATTATTAAGTTAAAAATATACGATATTACCTTCCTTAAATTTCATTTTTAACATTACCTTATTATTGTGAATATTTAATAAAAATTACGTAAAAAAAAACGTAATATTTTTGAATTGTGCTTGATTTTGTTATTTTTTTTACTCTTTTTTTATATTTCAGAGAATTTCTTCTCATTATATTCTTATCATTCAATTATTTTTAATATTTTTATTTAAAACACATATTGTAGCAGTATGAAATTAAATAATACGAATAACAGTTCGACTAATTATGAATCTGTCAGAGCCATCCATATAACTTTTTTCATTAACCTTATTAACTTTTATATAAATACTTCTATTTTTTCAAATTTTGGGAATGCTTTGGATATTGAATAACATTTACAATAAAAATCATTTTCTTTGCATTTTAAAATTTATATATCTCGTTATTATGGCAGCTAGAGTACTTGACTTGAAATCATTTTGAAACTAAAGCTGCATTTTCACTAAATCAGTTTGAAAGCCGGAAAATAACGTTAAGCTATTACGTTTCAAATTATTAATAACATTTCAAGTAAAGTAGTCAAAATATTTTCAAGCCGGCTTCAAGTCAAATAACGTTCATACTGGGGGAAAGAAAATTTTAACTACGCTTGAAGCTGCCATATTAAGCATTAAAAGTAATATCGTGAATTATAAAAATTAATAAAACTCCATTTTTTTTTTATATGGCAACTCTTTAATATCGTTTTAATGCTGAGTTGGGGAATTTTTATTATTTGGAATTCTCCAAAACATGACATTATTTTTGACATTAAAAATTAAAAAGAACCAAAAAAGGTAATTTTTTGTTTTTGTTTTATTCATTGGAGATTTTGACAGAAAGTAAATAAGAATTTCGCGGATTTTACTCGCTACGAATTGTGAAGAAAAAAAATTAAAGTTTTATTAAAAAAAATAATTGCAGATTGCAAAAAAATTTTTGTTTCATTGTGAAATAAAATTTAATTTTCGTATGTTTTTTAATCTTATTATGATAAATGTATGATTAAAAAAGGAAAAAAAAAATCGATTAATTGAAAATTAGTAAAGAAAAAAAAAACAGCAAAAAAAAAAAGAAGGAAAAAATTGGTAAGTTCCAATTTCATATTTTCAATAGGAAAGAAAAAAAAAACTTTCTAATTATAAAAAATGTAGATAAAATATTCAACCACCACCACCACCCCCTTATTACACAAATCTACAGATACAAAATATTAAGTAATATTTGTTAAATATATGCAAATACCTGCTTACCTACTTGCATACCTAATTCGGTAAAAGGAAATAAATTACATAAAATTTTGTATATTGTATTTATGTACATACACATGTACAATATTAATTACACAAATAATTTTAATTTTTAAATCATTTTAGAGCTCAATAATTGTTGCAGTTTCAATATTTTATTAATTTGTAATGTATAATACTGAAAGAAAAAAAAAAACGAGAAAAAAAGAAAGAAATCAAGATTAAGTTCAGTCAATAGGTGAAGGATAAAAATGCAATATACATACTTTAATACCTACATATGTACATATATTCTAGTAACTATATACAATATTTCCTTTAATGCTTACCTACCATACTCGAATACATACTTATGTACATATTAAACAACACAACATTGTAGTGCACATGTACCGAATCAATTGATTTCTTGTATAAAGGTGTCAAATTTCCGTATTGAAAAGAAGGAATCTTTTTTATTTTGTTTTAAATAAGGCGCAAGTAGTATGGGTACAGAAATACATTCCTAATCAAAATGTTTTTCTTGTGTTAGTTACTAGAAATAAAAATCAATAATAATTAAATTTTTTTTTATTAATAAATCGATTTTATATTAAGAATATTAAAAATTTCGATTATAAACAATTTCGAATATAAAAATTATTTTAGAAAATTAAAGAAATACTTTTAGGATTGGAGAATATGGATTGGAGGATTTATTATAACTTGTATTATATGTGGAAATTATAATAATATCTATATTTATATTCTTTATTTTAATTGAAAATTTTAAAAAATTTTTAATTGTAGTTGCACCTACATTAATTTGTTACATTTTTCCAAATACTCAAATTTAAATGATTTTTGTGTAACTAAGTACCTACCTACTTAGTTACAAGTACTTTAATACAAGCTTTTCAATATAATTTAATATTTTTTATTAAATTGTATATATATATATGTATATATATATATGTATATATATATATATATATATATATATATATATAGATATATAAAAAACAAACATGAAATCAAGTAAGTGAGTTGTGGATTGCGATTTTTATGTTTTTTTCTTTTTCATAATAAAAACTAGATATGTTTGCATGCATACCTACATAATGTAAAAATATTGTATGTAAAATTGTTGATAATTGTAAAAATTTTGATGGTATGTATTATTTAAGTATATACATACCTACAACTATATTTCTACTTTGGAAACTTGCTGTAAAATTTTTCTATAATAATTTAATTTACCTGTCCTACCTACATATATTAGTACATTAGTATTTATATTTATATTTTAATATAGCTTGTAATTGTACACAGTGCTACCCAGTACGTATTACAAGTACAATATTATTACTTTTGCTCATAAATGTCTAAATACTCATATATTTGGTTGACTATATTGTATGTATATATAAAAATGTAAATACTAAATATGGATAAAGCAGCAAATCCATAGTTTTCAGTAATTTGATGTAAAACAAAATCGTTTATAATATGAGTTTATGTACATTACTCTTTATTAATATTATTTTAAAATTATTGGTATGTGCATCATGTTTATGCTACTCATATTGTGCATCGAGTATGTAAAATTGTAAATAATAGATATATTTATATTGGAACAGGTATACATTTATGGAAACATAATTTAATGTTATTTGTTGTTATAGGTACATAAATATTTTTAATTGAGAAAACTAAACTTGAATGAAATTTGAACTTGTATGTAAGATTTTAGAAAAGAAAAAAAACTTGTAGGTGAGATTTGAAGATTGTAATGATATGTATGTTGAAAAATTTTTATTCAGGTATTATAAATTTGTTGTAAAATGTAGGTTTGTATTTTATAATATGTAGTAATATAGTACAGGATTAATTATATTCATTAAATTTTGGTGTATTTCATTTGGTGGTAAGTGGACAAAGGGGTTGACTTGCATTGTGACACATTTTTTCATTAACAAATTGTAAAACTATTATTTTTTTTGTCACTTATCTTCAATATACACTGTTAATATCGTCTTCTATTAAATTTCTAGCTGTAAGAGTAATCACAGTTGAAAATATATGAAATTTAATGATGTTCTATCCGAAAAGTTGGATTTTCATCAAAATTTTATTTAACTCCTTTGTCCACTTACTTCTTCAATTTTTTTTTTCCAAATTTTAAACGCGGCGGTAAAGATTTTTTTCAATTAAAGATTTTTCTTTAATATCAATGTTTTATTCTAGGGTTCTTTTATTAGTTTTATAAGTTTTTTTTTTATTTTACAAGGAAAATTTTCAAGAATATTACGGAAAATATAAAATGCGATAAAAGATTTAAAAGAGAAATTATCCTTTTTACCGACCGTATTGCATTCGATAAGAGAGGTTATGTGACGGCATCAAATTTCGGAAGTCGAGTTTATAGTGGGAACGCATTTCTCCGGTGGTAGGAGAGTGTAAATAAACTAATTTTGGAGAGATGTCGATCTGTAGGTTTGTGTGTGTACCAAATTCGGTATGTCATGAATTGATCAACTTTGTGGATATATCAGACTTTGACTACCAAACATCCGATTTTACATTTTTTACCAAATCTGCGGAACTCATTTATGAAATTTCTTGAAATTTAATGTTTGACATCTGGTTGTTACCAGAAGAACTAACGGGCGATTTTGACAATAACTGACATTTCGGTGAATTCGAATGGCGCAAAGCGAAACTCTACTAAGAGACATATTTACATTTTTCTAGGTATGGTGACTTAATCTTACTAACTTCCTCAAAATTGGAAATGAGTGTTTAAAATGCATTTTCATAATCTTCTGTAACATTTTTGCTAATCTAATATGTGTTGTCTAACATATTGCGTTCGGGTATGTACGCTGATCATATCAGATTTTTTTTTTGTTCTTACTTTGGGGGATTTTTGGATCGTCTGTTATGAGAATGACCTTAAATTAACCGCTACTTCTTTACTTTTGTTGGTTATTCTATGATAATTTTTAGTATTTTGTTATATGTAATTTGTTAAAAAGTTTTGCTAATTTCCATATGCAATTGTTCATAAATAAATACTTATTCACTTATTCTACACATTTGAAATATGTTGGCATAATTTTGTAATTTCATAGGTTAACATAGACAAAACAAAAGCAAGAAAATGTGATAAAATATTTAATGATAAAATTTAATGATGAAAGCATGTAAGCATTAATGTAATTTCAAATTAGTACATTTTAAATTCAAAAACAAAAATATTAATTGGAAGCTTTAATTTAACGAATAAAATTTTTTATTATTTTTTAATTGTTCGGCACACTTATGGAAATGCCACACGGTTTTGTTTTCAATTTTATTTACTATTCAAAAATTAATTTTGTAAAATTATTTTTCATTTGTTATATTGTTATATTGTATATTATTAATTAGAAAATTTATGTATAATAGAATTAAAAATTTCACAAAACAAATTAAAAAAAAAAAATATTACTTTAACCTCGTATGTCTTTGAAAAGTCAAACAATGTTAATAAATTTAATTTTTTTTTTTATTTTTTGAATGTGGTACATAAATATTGCATGTATGTATATTATTATAACATTCATTAATATAGTGTATATTCTGTACACAGGGAGATTTCGTCAAAATATGAATATTATCCCGAACTTTTAGAATTCGTCAAATTACGTAAATCTGTCGATTTCATACTTATGTTCTCTTACTGTATATACATATTTACAACATGGATATTGGAAAATTTTTTCTAACTAGGAATGAAAGCATCACAAAAATTTAATATCTACGATTGGATTGGGAAAGAGTTCCAATTTAAAATTGCAATTCTGCAAAAGAGTTCCGCTCGGTTAACTATGACAAAATTAGTTTTATAACTTGTAATTCCTAATTCTCATTGCGTTAAAATTAATAATTCCGTTTCATTTCAGAAATCAACTTGTATACAATTATACGTATATAATATTTAGCAAATTTGACTGAAGACTCTATAATTTTGCTCGGATTAAATTTTTGGTTAGAATTTTACCTATATCTATATAGAAAATATACTATAAATAAATGAGTTATACAATATCATTTCTCAAATACCCTGTATGTAATAGTATGTTTACTTAAATGCATTGTGCGTAAATATGTGCATATTATGTGTATAATTGTTATTATTTTGATTATTTTCAAATTAAAAGCTTTTTAATTACACCTTGTAATTACATACATACATATATGTATTATATATGTGTATGTAGATATATATTTATTTGTTATTTATCTTAATAAAATTTTTCGTTTATTTTTTCTATAGTAAATTTAGATCACAATCTCTCTATTTTGTTTTTTTTTTTTAAATGCAACAACAAAGATTTAACAAAGCAATAAAGAAAACCGAAAGCTATAGAAATTATTTTTTGCATTCACTTAGGTCACTGGTTTCTATTTATAGATTGATATAACCTTAATTAATATTTAATAAAATTATTGTATTTTTTACATACATATGTACACAATATATATATATATATATATATATATATATATAAATTATCAGTTATAGTAAGAATAAGAACGCGAATTTTATTGATCATTGACCTTTTTGAATGCAAATTTTTATTTTGAAAAAATTTTTAATATAAAAATATTTTAGAATAATATTTTATTGATTTAAAAATTTTTTTTTTTATAAATTTATATTATTTTATCTTAAAAACAAAGAAAAAATAAATATAAATATGGTCACGAAATTCTCTATTTTTTTTTTTTTATAAAAAAATCAACTACTCAAGTTTTGTATTTCAACTTTCAATATTGGCCATTGGGGTTTAAGAATGGGTTTAATAAACTTT